TTAACACATAAATTCATAATGTTCCTTCTCTTTCGATCAGACCAAACATCCGTCATAATCGAGCATCCATCCTCTTTCCAATCTTGTTCGTTTTTTTCAACAAGTTTTTTGTTCTTTCCACCTCATGCTTTAGAAGCGTGTCAGTCAAAGCATATCTAGTAGGAGGTAGAAGCCCGGTTCCAAATTAGCCAACAACCTCCAACATCATTTTGAAGCTATCCCTTTCAAAGGCATGAAAAGGAATTGCGCTTTGATATGCCCACCTACTAATGTATTTATGGACCGTGAGTATTCTTTCTTTCCAGGCAATATTGTTAAGATCAACATTTTTTCCCTTTTTCGCATTCAAATCTTCTTCGGGGTTTATTTTGTTTGCCTAGCCATCCATGGGGCCTATAACATTTGGTGCTTTCAACCCCAAAGAAGCTTCTACTCCATCCACACTATCATGAAATTCTTGTCTCGCCTCAAATCTTAAGGCTTCATCTTGCGAATGTTTAGCTTTCTTTTTTAACTTCCCTTCATTAATAGAATTTCGACATTTCAATTGATCATCTTTTGTAGAACTTGGACATGAAGATATATTCCCCTTCACATGAGCAATATATTGTTTCATTCTAGTAATCCCTCCGCCAAACACTTTTCCACACAATTTACATTTCAATCTATCTAAGTTGCTTTTATCTGGGATAAAACCTTATTTCCAACCAACATCATCCGAATTCCGTTTATGTGTATTGGTGGCGATTGATCCCACAGACGGTGTAGTCGAAGCATTAGAAGTCATTGATTGTCAACGGTTAAATCATCACATTAACACATTAAAAAAAATAACACCTTAAAAAAATAATATAAATGCTTGACAAAATGATTATCAATCAACCAAACAATTTATAGATTCATGTTGATGCCTTAATGCTAAAGTGCTAAAAGAAATACTTAACAGATTCATGTTTAACAGATTTCAACAAATGCACAACATATTCACCTTAACAGATTTAAAAAAAAAAAAAAAAATTGACAAATTCATACTTAACAGATTTCAAAAAAAAATTGTTAAACAACTTTAACAAATGTTCAATTAACCAGATCCCTGTTTAAATCAGTAAATGTTTAAAAAAAAGATTCAATAAATGTTTAACATACACCAATTTTCTTAACAGATACCAAATTTCTTATCACATGGTTAACATATACTGAATTTCTTATTAAATGTTTAACAGATACCAAATTTCTTATCAAATGCTCAGTAACATCAATCCTAAAATCAGTAAATTTCTTAACAGAAGAAGCTGTCAAATGCTATTGTTCAACAAATTTTGGATAAGTTGCTGTTAACAGAAGAAGCTGTCAAAGAGAAGTAAAACCTAACCTTTGCGGATAACTCAATTAGTGTCGACGGGAGGAGCTGAAGTCGGAAGAGGAGCTAATTTGGAGTCGAGAAACTTCGTGAACTGGAATCGTTACTCGAAGGTGATGATAACAGGAGCTTGGAAGGGGACTGCGACGTCGTTGCTCGAAGGTGATGACGAGCCGGAAGCCGGAGCTAAATTCGACGGCATGAGAGAATGTTAATCGGAGTTAAAGTCGAAAGTGAACGAACGAAGAAGATGCGCCAATTTCACTTCTTTCGTTCTCGCTTGTGGTTTGAGTCTAGAGAGAATGTCGATTTTTTTACTGCATCGAATGAGAAATCGGAAGAAACCCTAGAAGCAATTGTTACATTTTGACAATTTTGCCCTTAATTTTTTTTAAAATTATGTTGACTTGCGTTGACCGATTTGGGCGCCTAGACCCGTCTTTGACCGACTTTGACCACGTCGGATTATATAGTCCGATTAGCTATAAACGTCGACGGTAGTGGACCGCCAAGCGCCTAGGCGCCGATTATTCGGCCGCCTAGGCCGATATTTTCAACACTGATATTTGTTCTACAAACCTAGTGAGAATGTGGTCTTTGAAGCACAAAGATGAGTCTTTTGCGAGAGAGAGCTCATATGCAAAGAGGACAATGGGAGCACAACTGACCTTGAAGAGATTCAAGAGTCAACCAATGAAGGAACCTTAGAAGATACTAGCACTCAACCAGAGGAAGAAATTCCAGTTTAGCCAGTTGACAATTCATTAAATCTTCATCGTTCTACTAGAGTTGGTGTGCCACCAATGTTCTATGGTTTTCATATAACGTCAGATGGTGATAAGTTTATCGGTGATCAAACACTAGTAAACTTGGATGAGCCAACTAACTACAAGCAAGCAATGACAGACCCTGAGGCTTTAAAGTGGAAATAGGCAATGAACATGGAGATCAAGTCCATGTATGACAACCAAGTTTGGAATTTTGTTGATTAAGAACCTGGTCGAAAAAACAGTTGGTTGCAAATAGATCTTCAAGAAGAAGACCGACATGGATGGAAATGTGAACACATTCAAGGCACGGCCGGTTGCGAAGGGCTTTATGCAAACCCTAGGGATTGACTATGATGAGACCTTCCCACCAGTGGCCATGATAAAATCTATTAGGATAATGCTCGCCATAGCTGCCTTTCATGATTATGAAATTTGTGAGATGGATGTCAAAACTAATTTCCTTAATGAGAAGTTGGCTGAAGATGTTTACATGAGTCAGCCAGAGGGTTTTGTTGATGCAAAGTTTCCCAATAGAGTGTGTAAGCTTGTATCAATCCATCTATGGATTGAAACAAGCATCTCGCAGTTGAAATCTTTGCTTACATGAGAAAGTCAAAGAGTTTGGTTTCTCTAGAAGTGAGAATGAGTCATGCGTATATGTCAAATCTAGTGGGAGTATAGTAACCTTTCTAGTATTGTATGTTGATGACATACTACTTATAGGAAACAAGATTCCAACCTTGCAAGAAGTGAAATCTTTGCTTGGAAAGTGTTTTGCTATGAAGAATCTAGGAGAGGCATCATATATTCTCGGGATAAGAAATTTGAGAGATATAAAGAAAAGACTAAACGGATTTAGTACATACTTGGACAAGGTACTAAAACGATTTTGATGATATTAGGTCGATTAACATGGCCTAGACAGCTCTGGCGCGCTAAAGATGTTTACATGAGTCAGCCCTGTCTGACGCTCCCTTGCCAGCACTGCCTGACGTTCCTTTTCCAACACTGCCTGGCCCTATCCTTCCAGCCATGCCTAGCGCGCCTTGACAACTATAAGGTCGTGTCGCTACTTAATGGCGTGGCATACGCCCTGACCAATAAGTAGCCGCTTCGCGACCCATCCAAAAACCCAAACTAACTCAACTTAAAGAAGATCAAGAGACAACTCACAAACCAAAAACGGGTGTTACACAAAACTAACAAGTTAACATATGTATTTTGTAAATAATAATAATAATAAAGAGTAAACATAGACAAATTAAAAATAACATTACCTTTTTAATTTATTTTTCGTAAAAGTATTATATTAATCACTTTCGCTTATTTTACCTTTTTAATCCATCAAAACAACCATTTTAACCTCAAAGAGTGAACCAAATCATTTGTTGAAAAAAACGCCAAATGCTCTTCACCCTTTGACACTCCCCGACGACGCTCACCTCTCATGACGCCCATCAATATTCACAATCGTGGAACCTTTCATAATTCCCACAGTCACCGACCTCTTCTTGCGTCACTGTAACCACAGGCACCACCCTCGCCCTCAGCACTGTCTCAAGGCTTCAACCATCGGCATTGAAACTCTCAAAGAGGATTATCAGAGTTATTATTCCGTCACAGGTAAACAATATTCGTATATATTTGCAATTCCTTTGAGAAGTTCAAATTTGGTATCATATTTGGTGTTACCCTATTTGAGGGCACTAGTTGGGTTCTGTGAGGAAGGTGGTCATTTGGGATTGTATAGTTGGCTTAAATTAGTTAGGATTTATAGGGAATCTTAGGGTTTTCTCCTACTGCGTTTGACATCATCTTTGTTGTAGAAAGGCCAAAAAGGAATGCACTCTCCGTGTTCGATGAAATATGTAGTTTGGGATGTATTTTCAAGCCATTTTGAACAATTTTCTGATTTTTAATTCTTTCTTCAGAGTTTACAGGATGCATAATTGGATTTTTAGTGCTGATAAGTTGGGACCTGTTACGGGTATATATAGGTATAAACACTTTTTACTTATGCTACTTAGTAATTAGTTTATAGTTTATACTATCTATTATCATTAATTCTCATCTTATGTATAGATGGAGTTCACCAGGTATGTCTGTTACATTTGGACTTTACTCTACACCACAACTTTTCCAATACAACTTTGCTTTCATGTATAACTGTATTCTTGAGAAGTGTTGTTTACTTGTTTTGATGGTTAGGAATATGATTTTATTTTCATCTGGCTATTAGGATTCTATTTGTAATAGGAACCATATGCTTATAAGAAAAGTGAGTGAATTACATTTTTAACCATATGGTTTAACATCTTTAAGCCACGTACATTGATTGCACATGTTAGTCAATTTATGCAACAAAATAGTTTTTTATACATAATATGCATTATTCAACTATGTTTCATTCTAGGACCAGTTTATGCACCAATGTTTTATTTCTTTTAGACAAATTCTGCAACAATGTTTCACTTTCATTACAAATTTATGCAAATGACATAAAGTATGCAACATTGATCATTACGCAACTTCAAATAAATGACCAAAGGTTTTAAGATTGTGTAGAAATGGAAATATAATGTTTTTTCATCAAATATTTCTAACTAAGCCCGCCACCACATAAAATCAACTTGACAGGTAGCGTCTTTTAATCCAACTATAAACCAGCCACCACATAAAAAATTTCATGTCATCATATGGTACAACAGTATGTCGACAAAAACATGCACAAAGTGACAAATTAAACAATGAATGAAAATATAATGTTTTTTTCATCAAATAATTTCTACATAAGTGGCATTTTCAAAATCTGAGCGTGATTATAAATAATGACAACTCCAATATCAACCTAAATTTGATTATAAAAAAATGTTACACCTCAGATGCATCAAAAATCAGATAATATGCATAAGTGTTCTGTTTCTCAAATAGGTTTAAAATAATCAATGGATGGCTCATAGTCATGGGCATAATTGTAACTTATCTAGGTTTAGTGAACAATTGTTAACTCAAAATCATCATGAGATAGATTCATTGAAGGTGGCGATGGAAACCTGCACTGAACATAAGATATTTGTAACCAAATTTTATTCTTTTTATTTCAGAGATTGAAAAACAAAGCTTTTATATGGGTGACACTGACACACTCAACTTACAAGAGAGAAATGGACTCGCTTCCTCAAGATTTAAGTGCTCATATACAAAACAAACATTAATACACTTGACTTAAAAGAGGAGCCAAAAGTTTATGGGTCTTTTTTCATTGAAGAATTTTATCAAACACCGGGTGTTCATAAAAATTAAGAGCACAGATCTGTTGAATTAAGAGAAGTTTTATGTTATAGCAAATTAGCTTCATACTTTTTTTTCTTTCTTACCCGGTGTGAGCTAAGAAAGTTTCATGTATGATGGATTATCATTCTATGCACCTTCAACCACTGAATTTATTTACTATTTAAAATAGTGGAACATGTACAGACCAATTAATAAAAACTTGTGTAATTATTGCTAAGTTGGTCACAGCTTAATTAAATACAAGAAGTGGACACATCATAGATAAGATTACTTGAAAATAGAAGTTCAATAACCCGAATTGAAAGAGTAGTAAGCAAGCAACTGTGACAAAAAGTCAATTCAATGATCAGATAACTAAGGTGGAGAAACATGTACATGATTAGGAAGAAGGAAATAAGTGTACGATGTAATCTTACCTGTGCTATATAGCTAACTTCAAAACGAACCAAACCGCACGTGTGAATTTGATGTTGCTCTAGAACTCCCATCCCTGTAGGAGATTACAACAAGTTGTAAATTCGAGAGTAAAGTAAACGTTTTGTTCGATCAAACATATTAATCTGTTAATAATAACCAAAGGAGACACCACATACCTCTTGTTGTTTGGTCTTTATAAAAGAGTTTGGGTCTTCCGTTGCATGACACAATCCAAAAGTTGTATCTATTAACTTGAGCTCCGGAGTAGTTGATTGCCCATTTGTGAAAACTGTTATTTTTGGACAATTTTTGATTTCCAAAGCATCTAATATTGGCCATTCAAAAGCCTCCTTCCCCAGGCAAAATCCCTTGAGATTTGGAAGCTTTTGAAGTGTTATGGTTTTTAGACAAGGGAACACAACCTCTGTAGTCAGTCTGGTTTCGGAATCTTCAACTTGCTTCACAATCACATCCATACTCTCGCACTCACTTATTTGTAGCTCTTGGAGCTGCAATAGACTACCAACCATGCAACTACTGAAAACGTGTCCAAGAAGCTTACAACTTACAATTGAGACCTTTGTAAGGTTTGGAAAGTTCAACACTATCCACCGATTGCTCTTCCACATATGTTTTAGTTCATGTAGTCCATCCAGAGTCACCTCTTTCAGCTTCTGAAATACCACAACAGATTGTGTTTCAATATCCACATCTTCATTTGTCCCTTCTGCTACTTCAAATACCTCCTCTATTTTAGATTCATCATAGTTCCCGGTAATAGAAAGCTTTTCAAGATTCTTCAAATTTAGCAACTCCTTGCATGGAAAAATTATGCTGCTTTTCAACAATTTGTCATTCCATTGTGCATCTACTTCAACTAAATTTGAAAAAGACCACAGGAACTGAACTAGCATTATCATATCTGGAGTAGAGCACATAGGAAGTTGAGTCTGCTAAGAAAAATCAAACATAGATAGATCATCACAAACACGACAATTATTAAAGAAAAATACCTTTAATATTACAAACATATTAAAGGATTTCAAGTTCTGTTATTCTTCAATGAGCCAACATGTATTTTCAATCAACAACCTAGTTTATGACACTGCTTACATTATATTTTGTGAAGATGAGCATCATGAAGAAAATTTCTGCATTATATATTGCATTTGCTCAAATAATTTAGATTGCTATCGATGATTGTCGAGTCTTTTTAGATAAAAGTAAAAATTATAGTTTGTGGGTGAGTGGGTGGGGGGGATAAAATAAAAAGTAAAAGTTAAGTGTTTTGGCTACTTCAAAAAGGGTAATTTTTCATGTACTGGATATTTACATCCAATTTTTTTAGGAAAAATGATAATTATGTTATTGTATTTTTTATTGCATTGTCAAATACAACAAATGATATACTTACACTTTTACAATCATCTTAGTTATACTATTTTCGTCAATTTTAGGAAATAAAAGCTAAAAAAAATGTTTAGCTTGTAAAAGATGAGAGAGAAAAGAAGAACTTGATTAAGTAACAACTAACATCACAATATTTATAAAATATGTTAGATAATTGAATTAAATTGGATTAAACGATATAAATGATTTAATTACAAAATATACTTCCATACAAAAATCTATTTGTTAATAGATATGAGTGAAAATTTGTAAAATAAGGCAATGCTTTAATTTCCATCTATTTTGTGTTTTCTTTTCTTAACCGAATGCAGATGTTAGTTCTAAGTTCCTAATTAATGATTTATGACAAGTACCAAACGATCACATTCTATGAAATTTACAAATGATTTGAATAAGAATGAACTTGCCAAGTATCATTTGTAATACACACGAAAATAATTTTTTATGTTCATAGATTTGATATAAATTCCTAAGTCTTGTGTTTTTAAGGAACGTAACTATTATATGAATTTAGAAGCCCTTTTTCTTAGGTGCTTATTTTGTTATTCCTTTAATTGAATACTTGCCCAAACTCAGAGCCACTAGTTAGATTGTTTGTTTTTCTACAAAGCGATCAATTTTTTTGTCAAATTAAAATACGTTTTAGCGAAAACTGCAAATTTGGTCCCTGTATTTGTTGATTTTTGTGGTTACAATAGGGACAGTGTAAAGAAGAAGGGGTTGTTGATCTGATTCTGATCAAACGGAAACTAGTATAGTATATGTTCAAAAATCTTTAGACATGGAAAAAACCACCCTCAATGAATGCGTCAATTGGGCCTTTTGTCTTTACTTCATCTAACTTGATTAAAATATTAAATTGCTAACTTATGAATTAGTGAATATAACATCTTTTATAACATCTTTTATAACATAAGAGACCACTTAATATCTTAGGAATGAAATATTAACTTATAATAAAAAAAATTGCATATTTTCGTAACTTTTTATAGATACAAAAGATGGGAAGTGGTTGTATATGTATCTTCATTTGGTTTTGTTTTGTGTTTCTTCCGGAATACACATATGAACCAACCTGGAAAAACCCTCCATAGTGTAAGCAAATACTATGTTTTGCATATGAACCATCTAAATTTGTAAGCAAATAGTATGTTGAACATCATAAAACGACATCCTGATCACCTGGTTAAATGATGAAGTGAAGTAACAACATACCTCATGTGTAGCATTGGTCAAATGGAAGTTGAGGCCATATTGATCAAGACTATGCTTGCCTAATCCTGTATGTATGTAGTTGAGCTTCGGAGTCATGGAGTGACCAGATGTGAAAATCATCATTTGTGGGCAGCCATCCATCTCAACCTTTTCCAATGCTTTCCACCTGAACTCATTCTTCCCCAAGAAGAAACCCTTGAGATCTGGTAAATCTACAAGTGTAAGGGACTTGAGACGAGGGAAGACTATTATAGATTTAGATGTTTCTGTGTGCTCTCCCTCTTCCTTCACAATCACTTTCATTGCCTTGCATTGTTTTACAGTCAGTTCTTTGAGTTGCTTGAGGCTTTCAAGTGTGGAACTTGTGAATATATATTCCAAAACTTCACATCTTTCTATTTTCAATATCGTTAGGTTGGGCAATTGAAGCAGAGTCATATTTTCAATATCGTTAGGTTGGGCAACTGAACTCATTCAAAATGAGCCAAACTGCACGTGTGAATTCAAATGTTCCTCTAGAACTGCCATCCCTGTAGGAGATTACAAGAAAGTGGTAAATTGGAGAGTAATGTAAAGTTTTTGTTGGAGAAAACATTAATCTGTTAATAATAACCAAAGGAGACACCACATACCTCTTGTTGATAGGTCTTTATAAAAGAGTTAGGGTCTTCTGTTACATGACACAATCCAAAAGTTGTATCTATTAATTTTAGCTTTGGAGTAGTTGATTGCCCATTTGTGAAAACTGTTATTTTTGGACAATATTTGATTTCCAAAGTATCTAATGATGGCCATTCAAAAGCCTCCTTCCCCAGGCAAAATCCCATGAGATTTGGAACGTTGTGAAGTGTTATGGATTTCAGACAAGGGAACACAACCTCAGTAGTCGGTCTGGTTTCAGAATCTTCAACTTGCTTCACAATCACATCCATATTCTTGCAGTTACTTATTTGTAGCTCTTGGAGCTGCAATAGACTGCCAACCATGCAACTAGTGAAAACGTGCCCAAGAAGTGGACAGTAAATAATTGAGACCTTTGTAAGGTTTGGAAAGTTCAACACTATCCACCGATTGCTCTTCCACATATGCTTCAGATTATTTATTCCACCCAAAGTCACCTCTTTCAGCTTCTCAAATACTACAACAGATTGTGTTTCAATATCCACATCTTCATTTGTCCCTTCTGCTACTTCAAATACCTCCTCTGTTACAGACTGATAGGCATTGGTAATAGAAAGCTTTTCAAGATTCTTCAAATTAAGCAACTCCTTGCATGGAAAAATTATGTGGCTTTTCAACAATTTGTCACCATACCCATGTGCATCTACTTCAACTAAATTTGAAAAAGACCACGGGAACTGAACTAGCTTTATCAAATCTGGAGTAGAGCACATAGGGTGTTGAGTCTGCTAAGAAAAATCAAACATAGATAGATCATCACAAACACGACAATTATTAAAGAAAAATACCTTTAATATTACAAACATATTAAAGGATTGCAAGTTCTGTTATTCTTCAATGAGCCAACATGTATTTCCAATCAACAACCTAGTTTATGACACTGCTTACATTATTTTTTGTGAAGATGAGCACTGTGAAGAAAATTTCTGATTTATATATTGCATTTGTTCAAATAATTTAGATTGTTATCGATTAAAAGTAAAAATTATAGTTTGTGTGTGTGTGTGTGTGTGGGGGGGGGGGGGGGGGGAGTGGGGATAAAATAAAAAGTAAAAGTTAAGTGTTTGGCTACTTCAAAAAGGGTAATTTTTCATGTACTGAATATTTACATCCAATTTTTTAAGGAAAAAAGATAATTATGTTATCGTATTTTTTATTGCATTGTCAAATACAACAAATGATATATGGATAATATATTTATACTTTTACAATCATCTCAGCTATACTATTTTCATCAATTTTAGGTAATAAACGCTTCATAAATGTTTCGCTTGTAAAAGATGAGAAAGAAAAGAACAACTTGATTAAGTAACAACTAACATCACAATATTTATAAAATATGTTAGATGATGGGATTAAATTGGATAAAAACAATATAAATGATATATTAATTCATCTAACAGCTTGACTTAAAAAATACGTGGCTTAACTTATGAATGAGTGAATATAACATCTTTCGTAACATAAGAGACAACTTAATATCTTATGAATGAAATATTAATTTATAATAAAAAATAAGATTGCATATTTTCAGAGCTTTTCATGGATATAAAAAAGGGAAGTGGTTATATTTGTATTTTCATTTGGTTTTGTTTTATGTTTCCTTCTGGAATACAAATATGAACCTGCCACCTAATTTTTGTAAGCAAATAATATGTTGAACATCATAAAACGACATCCTGATCACCTGGTTAAATGATGAAGTAAGGTAACAACATACCTCATGTGTAGCATTGGTCAAACGGAAGTTGTGGCCATATTGATCAAAACTAGTATTGTATATGTTCAGAAATGTTGGACATGGAAAAAACCACCCACAGTGAATGCGTCAATTGGGCCTTTAATTGTCTTTAGTTCATCTAACTTGATTTAGATATTAAATTGCTAACTTATGAATTAGTGAATATAACATCTTTCATAACATAAGAGATAACATAATATCTTAGGAATGAAATATTAATTTATAATAAAAAATAAGATTGCATATTTTCATAACTTTTTATGGATATAAAAAAGGGAAGTGGTTATATATGTATTTTCATTTGGTTTTGTTTTATGTTTCCTTCTGGAATACAAATATGAACCTGCCACCTAATTTTTGTAAGCAAATAATATGTTGAACATCATAAAACGACATCCTGATCACCTGGTTAAATGATGAAGTGAAGTAACAACATACCTCATGTGTAGCATTGGTCAAATGGAAGTTGAGGCCATATTGATCAAGACTATGCTTGCCTAATCCTGTATGTATGTAGTTGAGCTTCGGAGCCTTGGAGTGACCAGATGTGAAATTCATCATTTGTGGGCACCCATAAATCTTAACCTTTTCCAATGCTTTCCACCTGAACTCATTCTTCCCCAAGAAGAAACCCTTGAGATCTGGTAAATCTGCAAGTGCAAGGGACTTGAGACGAGGGAAGACTATTATAGATTTAGATATTTCTCTGTGCTCTGCGTCTTCCTTCACAATCACTTTCACTGCCTTGCATTCTTCTACTGTCAATTCTTTGAGTTGCTTGAGGCTTTCAAGTGTGGAACTTGTGAAAATATATTCCAAAACTTCACAGTTATGTATATACAATATTGTTAGGTTGGGCAATTGAAGCAGAGTCATATTTGCCGACCTTGGGATGGTGATTGCAGTACAAGTATCATCACTTCCATCACCAACATTCGTAGTACTATCAACACTATCTTTGTTTATTTCTTTACTTTCAAATATCTCCACCATTGACTTACATTCTACTATTATCAGCTCTTCAAGCTTATGCAGTTGTCCCACTACATTGGATGGAAACACTCTTGATAGGGCAGGGCAATTTCTTATCTCAATCTTTTTGGAGTATTGGCATAAGAACCAAGAAGCAACACCGACTTGAGAACACTACAACAACACATGAAAAATCAATGGAGCTGATTGAATTAACAAAGCTTAGCTGTTTGCTATGTACATGCACAAGTGCTTCCCAAAACTAAGGTAGTTCAGTAACGTCGACAATGTAAGTTGAACTACAAAAGGGCAATATACAGAAAAATCACAATATCTCGGCCATTTTTTTTGCAGTTTAACAATTCCATTTCAGTTTTATCTCATCAAACCTACCCAAGTTTGAAATTTCTTTCTATATCGACAAATTTGACCTACTATAGCAGGTTAAAGTGGGTCATAATTGAAAAGGTTGTCAAAGTTTAGTCCACTTAATTTCACTAAAGCCACTCAACTTTGACAAAATTTTCTATTGTGACCACTTTAACCTGCTATAGTAGGTCAAAGTGGTCAGCATAGAATATTTCTCCAAACTTGGGTGGATTTCATAAGGCAAGATGAAGTAGAGTGCCATGATTTATGAAGAGAAAATAAATGGCATTAGACTTTTCACAAATTCCAGGTCACCACTGGTGTGACACCTCAGCAGAAACTTTTATGAGGTTCTGGTGGTGACAGACAGAATCAACGACATGAAGAGAGTGGAAGGATCATAAGAAGCATACTTCTGAAAGACACAGAATCAGCATAAGGATAGAAGACCACCTAGGCCAAAAAATCTGGGCCTACATGTGAAAGATTCAAATGGTTTACAAGACAAAGTTCATGTTGGATTTTATGGTGAAAAAATGAATTAAGAGAAATCAGATCATGGTGTTTGGACACTCCATTAAGGAAGAAGGTTTGTCAAATGACCAAAATACCCTTGTTATATATAACCAAATAACTAAAAACAAGAAATCAGTTGTATGCTATGCTTTATATTGTTGGCAAGAGAGAACAAGTAGATGGTGGATGAAAGAAAAGGTACACTAAATCAATCATAAAAGTGACCTTATACCGGCTTATATGAGATTATGAACAGCTAGAAAAAAGGAAATAGAAACAAGAAAAAACAAAACTGCCAAGGTGCTAATTAACACAACTAATTAGCATTTATTCAAATTAAAACTCGAAACTGAAGAGACTTTGAAGTACTTTGATTAGTAATTAATCAACATATATATTTCACACATGTCTGCAGGAACACGTGTATAAACACATAAAAGCATAATATAAACCATAAAATATGCAAAATTTTGTAACTATGAACTTTACTTGTCTGTATTGAAGAAGGGCTAAATGCAAGAAATAGCAACGCATTTCCAATTATTCGTTTATTATAGAAGACCACCTAGGCCACAAAATCTGGGCCTATTTTTGAAGGATTCAAATGGTTTAAAAGACAAAGTTCATGATGGATTTTATGGTGAAAAAATGAATTAAGAGAAATCAGATCGTGGGGTATGCTATGCTTTATATTGTTGGCAAGAGAGAACAAGTAGATGGTGGATGAAAGAAAAGGTATACTAAATCAATCATAAAAGTGGCCTTATATAGGCTTATAGGAGATTATGAACAGCTGGAAAAAAAAGGAAATAGAAACAAGAAAAAACAAAACTGCCAGGGTGCTAATTAACACAACTAATTAGCATTTATTCAAATTAAAACTTGAAAATGAACAGACTTTGAAGTACTTTTATTAGCAATTAATCAACATATATATATATATATATATATATATATATATATATATATATCCACGTGTCCTACTTTCATTCTTTCTATTACAGCAACAGAAATCCATTGTATTTAGATGACACTGCTATAATTGGGTGGGTTTCTTAAACTACAATGCTTTAATAGGAAAAAGAGAAAGTATGATGCTCTGATAAGCAAATCGATGAAAGTAAATTGCTATTTCTAGCATTTTAGCCTTTAATAAATGACCCAAGACCAGCATATAGGTACTTTCAAAATCCACCCATTTATAGCATTCTACTTTCAACTTTTCTTATCAAGCCATTGTAGCCATGTGTAATTGGGTATATTTTTCAAAGTATGATGCTATAACTGGAAGAAATGAAAGTATGATGCTATAATAAGAAAATAAAGGAAAATATGTTGAACAGAAAAAAATGACTAAAATATAATGGTTTTCTGTATATGGCCCCATTCAAAATTAGTATAGTGCCATGATTTATGAAGAAAAAACAAATATCATTGGACTAGATAACCCATTACCCCCTCAATGTGAGAAAATGAAAACATAATTGTACTTCTAAATTTATTTATTATTAGGAAATGAGTTTGCAATCAATATGCTTATATTTCCGTACCTGCATTGATTACATGCCATCTTCATGTTTTAAATAATTTTACTAACATGAACGGTTAAATTATTATACATGCATCATCTTCTTCATGTTAATTTATTATACATCTATAAATTTTCATTAATTGTATTTTTATAAAATCTATCTTAATTCTAATATGCTAAATAGATCGAAAGCATTTTTAGAACAAAGATTTTTTTCAAGGGAGTCCTTTTCAGTAAAAAGTTGGCTAATTATACTTGATAAATTAAGATCTAGAGATATTTCCAAAATTGACAACATTGACATTTGACTCTATGATAGTTCAATGTCTTAAAGTTAATATTTTGACTAGCACACTTTTCTGGTACAAAAGAAATTGTAAACAGGAGCCTATTGTCTCATATTGTATTTATATATTTTCAGTTGGCACATTAGATACAGCTACATAAAGTTTCATATTGTTTTGTCTTTCCAGCTTCAGAAGAATTAGCTTATTGAGTTATATAAAGCAGCTAATGGAGAAGAAAATATTAAAAATAAATAAATAAATAAAACAAATAACTGAATGTGTAAAGGATCCACTAGTTAAGAGAAATGATACCTTGAACTGATCATGGATGGAAGTAGTTGTGATCGTAGTACCGCCATCGATGCTCTTTAGGCTTGGCAGAGAATAAAGCTTGAGAAGATCAAGAAGATGGAAGGAGGAGATGGTGTTTGTGTGAGTAGAAGATATTATTTCTTCATTTTCATCATTAATATCTCTATTTGAAACAACTTCTTCAATACCATCACAAAACCATATAGCGACATCCTTTAAGTTGGGAAGAAGTTTGCCCATGACAGGTGAAAATAAGTACTTTATGCTTTTGCAGTAACCCATGGATATGTCGGTGAGGTTGTGGAATGAGTAGGATTGTGATGGGTTTTGAGGAATTACAAGTTTCTTCCAATTGCACTTCCACACATCACTCATCCTCATCATATCAAATAACATCAATTCCTTGAGGTTGGGAAGTAGTAGTAGTGGTTGATGATTATGCAGAGTTGTTGTGAAATCTGTGTTGCTGCTACTGGAACTCTCTATCTCAAACACCACTTCAACATCCTTACAGCCCCTTACATCAAGTGTTTGAAGGTGATTAACGTGAAAAGGTTTGGGATGAATTGAGGATTCAACGTCAGGAATATTACCATCCACCTCTGAAATGATCTCATTAATCTGCAGATATCTCAACAACAAATATAATTAGAAATAAATATGTAAAATACACACACTTACACAATGATATTTTTCACACTAAATTACTAAATTGGTCCCTGTGTTTATCTGTTTTTTTTTGGGTTTAGGTCCATTAAATTGTTTACGAATTTTGGTCCCCATTAACTTGATTAAAAATATGTTAATAATAATATGAAGGTTGAAACAGATCCACACTTAGCAATGCAGAAAATATAGCCTACTTTTCTGTTCTTAAAAGCGTAGTAGTGATATAGATAATTTGTCCATGTTTTTAAATTCCGAGTTTTAACTTTGTTTTTATCACAAGTTGAAGTGTAAAGATTTATAAATAATTTGACAGGATACATATCTTCACGCAGGTTAATAATCTTATTGCACTTTAAAGTGTGAACATGCTAGACCACCACTCATGTTCACATATTCAAGGAGGGGCAAGAAGGGAAATAAACCAATTCTTACTTATTCACAAAGAGGCAAGAAATGATTTAAACCATGAGTAAGCAATTGTGGGCAGCAAGGGTAAATAATTAAATTAACTATTTCAGTTATGCCTTTATATTGTAAGAGATCAGTTAGGAGAGACCATCTTATCAGTTATTTTAGAGATTACTCTCTTTGGGAGATCCTGGCTTCTCAAACTGCCAGATTTCTATCACATGTATGTAAAATTGATCATTGGATCATCAATTTCCTGTGTGAGATCTATAATTTCTTGTATTTCTCTTTTCCATCCTTGTGTGATTGAAATTCAAGAGTGAGAATGTAGCAGAACACATCCAAAGAATTGCATAGAATTGATTGATTTGTTATAGTGTGATATGTTATATACGTGTATGTATGTATAGAGACACATATACATAAGTTGTAAACATCAAAATAGAAATTGAAAGCTCAATGACATCACATACCTCCTTTCTTTTTTGAACCAATTCAATGTTACTCCCGGTTTCTTCCCAAGGTCTCGTACCATCTATACTCACATTCATAAGTGTTCTCACATCAGAATTGGTGACGGTCGGCGTGAATACGTTTACAAACCTCTCACACTCTTCTATTCTTATGCTTTCAACAGCTTGAAAGGTACGGATGAGGATATCAGAGCTACTTTCACCTTTCATCCTCCACAACTCTCTTAGCTTCCCCAAACCATATACATAAATCCGTCTCAAGTTGCTACTGTACTCTTCAAACTCACCAACACAACTCATGTCGATGTTAAATAACAATTCAATGCTTCCACAATTAGAAACATGAAGCTCTTCCAAACGACCCAGCAAAGACATGGGATTGGTTGGAAACAGATTCACAAGATTATCACATTTATCCACTTGGATCTGTCTCAACACACAGGCATCAACGTCTTTGCTACTTATAACTTGATAAGGCCATATCTCTTTCAGCTTATCCATCCTCCAAATCCTCAATTTCTCCAACTTAGGAATCAGCACCTGCACAACAATTAAGACTTGTTGATTACAAGTCAATCTATGAAACTGTCAACATAAATCCTAATATAGAGGTACCTGTTTGTTAAATAATGGTTGAATTGCAGAGCCATTACTGGACATAGAAGATGTTGCAGATGTTTTCTCAGGATAAATGCTACTGAAATTAGGAAGGCCATCAAGTTCCAACTCCACCAGCTGTGGTAGCTCAATTACATTAGCAGTGTTGCAAAGACCTATCAACTTTGGTAGCCTATCCAATCTTAGAAACTTTAGCCCCTGAAACTTGATTACCCCATCTCCACTATTCTCACTACGTGCAAGTACTTCCAGAACAGGGCACTGTGAAACTGTGAGGCGTTCAAGGTTCATCAAACCATTTGCAATAGGGACTGTGAAGAGGAATCTCAAGTTTGCACACTTGAAGACATCAAGGACTCTTAGATTATTAAACAACTGTTGATGAAAATCATTCATACCATCCACTTCTAGATAAAGCACCTCTGTTTTCACAAACAACTCATTCAATCTAGATTCCAATAGCTCATCTTTGTTAGTGACCAACTTCAACGTGTTTTCAAATGAGTGATTGTATCCTAAACTACGTCCCATGGAGATCCTGAACCTTTCAAGTTTCGTAAACAACACATTCTCGGGCTTACCACTGTTCCCAAAGAACTCGATTTCTAGTGCAGAAAGGTGCTTTGAAAGTTCTGCTAATTCAGCACAATTGCTGTTTGTGAACCTAATTGCCTTTTCATCAGCTACTCTCATATAAAGCTCTTCAAGATTGACCAAATCTTTCAAAACACCATCATCAATACAAAGATTGACACAGCCCGTCAAATCCAGTAGCTTTAGCTTCTTCAACTTTCCGATTGTGGATGGTAACTTTCTGATGCCACAATGAGCAAAACTGAGCACTTCCAGATTCGAGAGTTCTCCAATAACAGAGAAATCAAACATCAATAAGCATTTATGGAGAATGAGTGTTCGTAGTTTGGTGGAGCATTCAAGTGATCTGGGAAGCAACGGATACTGCATTTTTTCATATGCTACAACTACAAGATTTTCCATTTTTTCATAAAAACCTTCAGGAAACTTAAGTGACTTATCTCCATCCATAAGTCTCAAAAGTGATAGGTTTGGGTACTTAGAGTCACCAGGAAACTCAGACATACCTGTGCAAGTAATAGAGATTCTGTTGCAAGACTCTTTCACTTCAGCTCTACTCCACTTTGAAATATCACCATGGTTGATTATCCATGGATGATGACCTTTAGAAACTCTTTTTATGACAAAAGCAAGCACAAGATCATGCATTTTGACACACCCAATGTAATCGCTATCCATCAACAAATTTGCATTTCTAAGATTCTGTACACACGTTTTTGTCCTGTCTCTAGCCTCTCCCAAAGTGGATACTTCACTTAATAACTGTAGGCCCCATGCATATCTTGTGAGTTCCTCGATTGGAATATTAAAGTCATCAGGAAACAAGCCACACAGAAGAAAAATCACCTTTTCCTCCTCTGTTTTTATATAATTATAGCTTATCTTAATAACTTCTTTCACATTCTCATCAAGATTCTTCTTCTTCAACCGTTGAAAAGTATCTCTCCATACAAAAACTTCTTGAAATTGAAGGGTTTTGGCGATGAGTTTAATGGCAAGGGGCAAAAAACCACATCTTCTCACAATTTCACTTCCTATTTGATTGAGCTCCATATCATGTTGTTTTGAAACTCCTGTGATTTGCCAAAAGAAATTTTGTGCTTCAGGCTCCTCCATCACATCCACTCGAACTAGTGTCGACTCCGAATTAGCTTCTACTGCAATTTGTTTGCAAATACTTTCATTCCGCGATGTCAACAACAACTTGAAGCTGTTGGGCAAAGGACTCAGTCCAATATCTTTGAGGTCAATCGTCTCCCATACATCATCCAATATCACTAAAACCTTTCTTTTACCTTCTGGAAGGTTCCCAAATGTTATACGAAGACGATCTGCCCTTGCTGCTACACTCGTTTCAGTTAGAGATGCGCCCATGTATTCTGCTACATCTTGCTGAATAGAAAGCATGTTAGTCTTTTGCCCAATGACCACCTTCACAATCCAGTCAAAAATTTTCTTATCTTCTGCAGTCTTCTTCAGTTCTTCCATCATAGTGGTTTTCCCCACACCACCCATTCCACATAAGGCTATCACTTTGTTCGTGTCGTCTTGTTGAAGGGACTTAAAGGCATCCTTAAAAGACTTCTCTCTGGATTTGAAGTGATTTTGGGATTCACCATCTGATGGTGCAGAACCGGATGCGATTTTTGAGTTCACTTTCCCAAGAGGTTTTTGAGCATTTGTCCAAATAATCTTACTATTTTCATCAATAAGACTTTCCATCTCCTCCGTAGTCTTGAATGCCTTCTTTCCAACTCGATACCTCATTTTCAAGTTACAACATCCGCTCCCAATACTTGGAATGCTTTGAGCTTTTTCTTTAGTCTTTTCAACTTCTTCCAACCACCCCGTTACATGAGTAGGTATCTCCAGATTACTTCTATTGTTTGTTTCCATGTGTTTTTTGACATCACGGCTTGTATCATCCAGTAGCTTTATTTTAGTATTCATGTTCCTAACATGTTTCGTGGATGAAAAGAGATATCCCAGTTGTTTCTTGACAGGAGCAATTAAAGATTCAACAATAGGACTAATGATTGCAGATACAAGCTCCATCTTTCAATATTCTAGCTTTTACAGAGACCTGTAACAGATAAAAAACGCAATGAAATTGTTAAAACTTATTACTTATTAACTTGCTTAGCTATCTTTTTTCAATTATCATATACAATCCATAGATAATTAGTGTTATAAAAAGTTTCCTTCAGGATTTAGGACACATGACACGTTTGGCTAGAAAAGAATTGGTAGTTAGTAAATAATGTGTATGTAAATTCATAGTTAATTTTGCTGTTTGTCTTCCCTTGTCAACTTAACCTTGGTTTTCTTTAAAATGATTGGGGAATAGATTGTTAATTTCAACATCTTCATCATCGTGTAAAATTGTGAGAGATGAGGAACAAAATACCGTGCCTTTTAATTAGGGATTTATTAGTTGTAAACAGAGTCCTACAGTGATACAGTTAGGGGATTTATTAGGGCTAGAACTGATCTCTACGTGGAAGCATCTGTCCTAAGAAAACCATTCCTCCAAAACATTGTTCAATAATCAAAACAGGGAAATGAGGAGGCACTGTCATTCATTTAAACATTCACTTGATTTTATATGTGGAGCATACACGAACAATCCACAACAAGTAACAAAGCAAAACATTTTTTTTCAGATAATTTCGTCAAGGATCGATAGATTGAAAACAAAAAACAACTAAGAAAAATTATTCATAAACAAAGAGAAAAACTTTCAACAAAAACATACCTCTTCTACTATATGCGCCTGTGCTAATGCTTGCTGTTTTTGCTGCTTTGTAAAGTGCGTATGTGTACAACTGGTTGGAATTGTGAAGAAGGCCAATATATTGAAGTATGAACAAGCCTCAATTATTGCTGTTGACCTGCAAATACCATGGTATTGGATGGATGGAAATAATGCAGTCAACAGTCATAATCTAGGTACTAAGAGCATTGCCTAACATACTACAGAGTATAGCACAAGTAATACACTAACAGTCAAAGGTCCCACCGGTTTCTATTGAAGCACGATACAATGTCGGATCCCTACCCCACCTTAATATGTGATATTTCATTTGCACCACATATATATCACCCTAATTTTGGGCATCCTTTGCAGAAAAGAAAAAGAGAATTTGTAAAAAAATTCAAAATAAATGTATTTATTGGGATGATTATTAGTTGGTCTAATATTTGAAAAAGCTTATGTAATAATTTAATTTAACAACTAAAACCTGTGTTTTAAAAAACCATATCATATTAAATTAAATGGTTTAAAATAATGAGAAAAAATAGTTCAAACTTTTAATAACAAAACGTCCTAACAAAAAATCTTGGACACTCATAGTATTAGATTGAAGTGCTTGAATATATGACTCTAACCGGTACCACTTATCAAAATTAGACTGAGTATGCAATATGTCCACGTGATTGCAAACTTCTTTAGTTGTTTCATATTTTACCAATGCAGTCAAAGTAAATTTGATCACAATTTTTTTTATCTAACTGCAAAGAGTTGTCCTTTTCCGTTTGAGCCAAATTAATGATAACAAAAATAATCAAATATCAATAGCAAATACGTTCGAATGACCTTTAACATTTGAACGCACAAATTTACATAAATTTAATCTGTGACCTCACTATCAGAAACCACCATCTACAAAAATCATGAAGCCTAATGAAAAATGAAAAACAAATAGGAAAATAGGAAATGAATAGACAATAAAGAGTGATACAAACTTAAGCAAGATATTTCTTTCATCATTTCAACATCTATCATTTCCGTATTCTCTTTTTCATAGTCCATAATGGTCCCATTGGTTTTCTTGGACGAGGGTTTAAATGGTTGAATTAGTGAAATATTATTTCATGTTTAGCAAAATATTACTTTTATGGTCTTGTTGGCTATTTTATAGTAAAAAATATTTTATTTATCATTAAAAACACTTAACCTACTAAATACTAATCATTTGATCATTCCAACTTTCCACATCAAAATATTATCTCTTTAATTAAAACGTATTAGAGTTGATTATTTAACATGTCCAAAGCAGGAAAACAACATTATAAACAACAAAATTAAAACTATGGCTGGTCATAAAAAATGTTACAACTACAATAGTCACATTTTATTGGTCATACACCTCAAATGTATCACGAAGTTAATAATAATAACCATAGATCCTAAATTTCCCAAATAGGTTTAAAACCAATTTAGCAATGATTGAGAATTTACATGTAAGGTTAGGCATCAATATTCAGTAGTGGATACTTGGACTTTCTTTGGTAATCTCATCTGCATGATCAACAAACATAGTTTAACTTTAACTAGAATTTAAAATACGTTTAATGAATCTATAAATAACAAGATATTAGAGATTTTTGACCTTAGATTTTGTGGTTCGCCAGCCTATCGAGTTGGTTTGTGGAGATGTGTAGGCAAATTTCTCAAACGGATTTTGTGAGACGCCTTTACTCAAACTTGTAACACTAGAAGGTGAGACTTCCTACAATTAAAATCCAGTTTGTTACACATGACGGTATATGAAAAAACAGGTTGTCTGCATTTGGTATGTATTGGACTGGGACTGTGTGCCTGATTTCAATAAGACAAAAGTTGCAAATGTTTTTAGGGAGTCACTTTCGATTTGAAACGTATGCAAAATTAGGTTATTTGTTGTTGATGTATCGATATGTTGGATTTCTAGTCTTTCAGAATAAAAGAGCACCTGCATATAGAAAAGTTATATAAGTTGGTTGTATATCTCTGAAGGATCAAAGATATTTTGTGATCATATTCATCACATCCCAACTCGCAACTCCCAAAACATAAATCAACAAAATGACCAATATGCCCTCAATAATTATCAGTTGGATATGCGACAAGATATTATAATAGTATGAATTGATATGATACCTTGTTTAAAAGCTGCACATTAGAGGAATCAGTTGCCACAACATGTAGCCCAAGGCAATTGACTTGATCACTACAAAAAGGGTAGAAAGCCGTATTAAATACACGGCCATCTTCTTTGCTCCAAATTCCTTCATCACCACTTCTTTTCCAAATTCTCCCATCAACACAACAAATATCAGACACCACAACAGCTACACTTGTCCCACCCTTTTCTCTCCCTTTCCAACTTGACACCAAATGCACTTTAGATAACGACATCAAAGAACAAGGGACAGAATAGTCATTTTCCGCAAGACCCAGCGGATTTTTACAGAGTGAACACGATATTTTTAGATCATTCTTGGTTTCATCACCAAGATTCATGGTTTCTTTCACTGGAAATTTGGTTTTAGGGTCAGGGGAATCAAAGTGGGCCATCTTGACTGATGCAAAAGCTGAAGACTTTCTTCTTTTATGAAAATGGGAATTGACACTTGAATCTATAGGTGAATTGTTTTGAGGGATTTGTTGTTTTTTAGGTGGTGTTGTTGTGTTCATGCATTCAGAAGCTGATGTGGAACAAGGGGAAGAAAAGGAACGAGTGGGAAACTTTGATTAGATTATGGTTGACTCGGAGACAGATTCAAGAGTAGCAGGGTAACTGCTCTTGATTGGTGTTTCCTTCACAATGGGTGGCTCATGATCAAGGGCATTATAGTCATTTCTCGGGGTTTCATGAACAATGGTAAAGTCGAAACCGTCATCATGAGATATATTTATTGATGGTGGTGATGGAAGACTGCAGCCATCATAAGGCAGACATCTGTTACCAACTTCTATTCTTTTTTAGAGTAATTACAAGAATGGTCTCTATGTTATTCCCAACATTTCAGGTTTAGTCCAACTTCTATAATAAAATGAATTTTCTACCCTCATATGTTTCTTTTTAAAGTACATTACATTTTTGGTCCCTGAGTATAGCTGATGTTTTTAATTTTGGTCCCAAAAGGTTGTCATGCTAATTTGGTCCTTATTTAAGATTTTTATAACGTTTTTTGCCCCTGTTCCTAGTAAAATGGCTATTTTTGGGATCGAAATTGCAAAATCACACCCATAGAGAAAAAATTGTCACTTAATTTGGAACCGGGACCAAAAACATTACACGAATGTCAAATAAGGACCAAAAATGCAAAAGAAAACATTTTAGGACCAAAATTGCAAAAAGCAGCCATACTCAAGGAACAAAAATGTAACTTGACTCTTCTTTTTAAGTTTTCTATAATTTGTTTATTTTTAAACTATTGCTACATGTCATTTTATAGCACCAGTGACAAATCAGAAACAAAAACCAATGTTAGGGACCAAAATGAAACATAAAAAAAAAGTTGGATTGAATATGCAACTTTGGGTATAACACAAGGACCATTCTTTTAACTAACTCTTTTTATTTCAATGATTGAAAGAAGTTTAAAATACCTATTTGGTGTCTCCAAATCACCTTTGGAGTCAGTGTAAGTTATACCAGTATAGTTGTCACTCTTTTCACTCGTATTGCTATCTGAGGTCTAGATTCTGTTTTGGGAGAGGGGCAGTGAAACTTTTTAGTTGTAATTGGAAACTTTTTTTTTAATATTTCAGGTGGTGAAATAACAACATCTGACATAGATCTTTAATAAGATCAAGATCCTTCCCGAAGGTAAGAACCTTAGTCGACCCGCCTGTGATTCGGGAAACAGGGAATTCTCCAAACAAACAGTCAAAGACTTTTATTCCATGCATAAAGAAAAATACGTTCCTAAGGTGCTTTATTTATAATGTCCAGCTAAACCTAAACAAATCCTTAATAACAAAAATCCTAATCAATATCCAAAACTAATACTTTAATAAAAAGAAACTGTAAAAAAGGAAACTTGAATCCTAAAGGAATCTTAAAACTTATTCCCACAGCAATCTTGAACTTATCTCCTGCGTCGGTAGACTTGACCAAATCGACCCATACGGGTCGTATTATTACTCCCCTCCCAAACACGCACCTTGTCCTCAAGGTGAAACTCAGGAAATCGTAGGTCCATATCCACCAAATTTTCCCAGGTAGCTTCATACATAGGTAAGTCCTTCCAACGAACCAAAACCTCACGTCCTGAGTCTCCGTTTCGAACTCCTTCCACCCGATCAGGTTGCAACAACACTTCCATGTCTTCAGTCAAAGTAACCGGTAGCTACAGAATTGCCTCCTGAGATCCTATTGCTTTACGTAGCTGTGAGACATGGAACACGTTATGTATATGCGCAGAGCGGGGCAATTGTAATTTATAAGTGACCCTTCCAATACAAGCCAATATTTCAAAGGGACTAAAATAACGGGGTGCCAACTTCTCATTTACACGTCTTGCAATAGAGTGTTGACGGTGGGGCCTCAATTTCAAGAAAACTCAATCACCAACCTCAAATTCCACCTCCTTACGATGCTTATCAGCTTGGTTCTTCATGAGTTGTTGTGCTTTTAATAAATCACCCCGTAATTCCCACAAAACGCGATCACGCTCCTGAAGATATTGATCAATGGTACTCACCGGCGTCCACAAATTTCCGTAATGCAACAAGTGAGGCGGATCGCGCCCATACAAGACTCGAAATGGGGTAGTACAGGTGGAAGTGTGAAAAGTGGTGTTGTAGCAATATTCTGCCCATGACAACCAAAGGACCCATTTTTTTGGAGTAGTAGAAACAAAACAACGAAGGTAAGTTTCTAAACAAAGATTAACAACTTCCGATTGCCCGTCCGTTTGCGGATGGTAAGCCGTGCTACGCTTCAATTGAGTACCTTGTAAGTGAAAAAGTTCCCTCCAAAATAAAATTAAAAATATCTTGCCACGATCGGACACGATGGACTCCGGAATCCCATGCAAGCGAACGACCTCCCGGAGGAAAACGGTAGCAACCGATAGGGCAATATACAGATGCTTTAGCGGAACAAAGTGCACATATTTACTTAGACGGTCAACGACCACGAAAATAATTGTAAATCCATCCGACTTTGGTAAACCGTCGATGAAGCCCATGGTTACCTCAAACCAAACCCTATTTGGTAATTCAAGGGGCTGTAACAACCCACTTGGCACAATCGTGGAATATTGCCAAAAATTGTTGATACAAATTTCCGCTCCCTGATATCTAGAAACGCTCTAGCAATCGTTCCTTTAATTCTTCCCAAGATTGGAACGGACTTCTCGCTTAACTCCAACGATACCATGCCAAGGCCTTACCATCCAAGCAAATTGCCGCCGCCTTCAACAGATCATGTACTCCAATATCTTGGATCTCAAAAAATCGTTCCACCTTGTAAATCCATCCAAATGCGTCATCTCCTTCGAAAATCGGAGCTTTAAGCTTCCGATAATCTCTCAGCTGTCGACTTCCCACTTTTGTTCTTGTCATTTTTTAGTCCTTTTTTAAAGGATCCAAACTCAGGTTTGTATTCAACCTCTTATTTGTTTTCCTCCCCATCGTCTCCTGTGTTTTTCCCCCTTGACAGTTTTTGCCAAATTGTTGATGGCCTGTAATAATTCTGCAAACTGTTCAAAATTTTCCTTTCTGGTGCGTTCAGCCTCCTCCCGGATCTTGGATACATTCTTTTCCAAATTAGCAGCACCCGTCTCCAGTCCTGCGATTTTCTCAGCATTGTTTTTTGACATGATGACACCAGAACCGAGGAGCTCTGATACCAATTAATAAGATCAAGATCCTTCCCGAAGGTAAGAACCTTAGTCGACCCGCCTATGACTCGAGAAACAGGGAATTCTCCAAAAAAAAATAGTCAAAGACTTTTATTCCATGCATAAAGAAAAATACGTTCCTAAGGTGCTTTATTTATAATGTCCAGCTAAACCTAAACAAATCCTTAATAACAGAAATCCTAATCAAAATCCAAAACTAATACTTTAATAAAAAGAAACTATAAAAAGGAAACTTGAATGTTGAAGCAATCTTTAAACTTATTCCCAAAGCAATCTTGAACTTATCTCCTGCATCGGTAGACTTGACCAAATCGACCCATACGGGTCGTATCATTACTCCCCTCCCAAACACGCACCTTGTCCTCAAGGTGAAACTCAGGAAATCGTAGGTCCATATCCACTAAATTTTCCCAGGTAGCTTCATACATAGGTAAGTCCTTCCAACGAATCAAAACCTCACGTCCTGAGTCTCTGTTTCGAACTCCTTCCACCTGATCAGGTTGCAACAGCACTTCCATGTCTTCAGTCAAAGTAACCGGTAGCTGCAGAATTGGCTCCAGAGATCGTATTGCTTTACGTAGCTGTGAGACATGGAACACGATATGGATACGCGCAGAGGGGGCAATTGTAATTTATAAGAGACCCTTCCAATACGAGCTAATATTTCAAATGTACCAAAATAGCGGGGTGCCAACTTCTCATTTACACGTCTTGCAACAGAGTGCTGGCGGTAGGGCCTCAATTTCAAGAAAACTCGATCACCAACCTCAAATTCCACCTCCTTACGATGCTTATCAGCTTGGATCTTCATGAGTTGTTGTGCTTTAATAAATCACCCCATAATTCCAACAAAAAGCGATCACGCTCCTGAAGATATTGATTAATGGTACTCACCGGCGTCCGCTGATTTCCGTAAACCAATGCACAACAGATATGCAAAATATGACTTATATATCTCTGTTTGAAGAATATAAGATTTTTCATCTTAGAATTACTTGTGATTGAATTCATGAAGAAATCTCTAAGCGCGGATTTAACCAATACTCAAAATATCCATTTTCTAAGTACTCATGAATTTTGTAGCAATCCCAATACAATTTCCAATCCATATGGGCAATACAAATAATTTATGACAGTCTTAGATCAATACTTACTCCCAGAAGCAGACCGACTGTGGCAATTCGAATAAATCAATATTCAGGAAGTAACACGCAAAATAAAACACAATAACAAACTAAATGTTCTATGGCATCATATTTTTTGTTATAAATAATTCCCTATTATTTAATCACCATAACAATTATAGATTTATCTATTGCATAAATGTTTCAGGGTAATCCACTTAACAATAAAAATTGACAACATTTCTCGTGTCAATGCTCTTAGCATGCATATAATGTTACATCCAGATTTCCAGGTATAATATTTTATGTATTTATTTTGTGATATGTGGAGTGACTCTACGAGTTGGTGCCTCAACTCGTTGACTAGAGTCGCGACTGGTGACGTGGATTAATGAGTGGAATCGATGAGTCCGTGAGTCGACTCACCGAGTCAGCGCTGCTGAAGGAAACCCTAATTTATTGGGCTTGTGGCCTATTTAAAGGCCTTTATGGCCTCCCTTTGTGGCCACCTTCCCCAGAGAGAAACCCTAACCTGCCCTTTTCGTTGTATATAGAGAGAGAGAGAGAGAGAGCGAGGCTATCTTGAGCATTCTTGAGCTTTTTGGAGGAAAGATTGGAAGAGTTGGTGGATCTTATCAAGAGAAGGCTATGGATCTTTCTTTTTTCTGTCTTTAGCTGCTATTCAGAGGTATAAAGCTCTCGTCTTGACCTCTTGTTTGTTAGATCCCTTTTTTGGGAGCTTTTAGGGTTTTCTCTCAAGCAAATTGTGTTCTTGAGCTCTTTGGGCATGGTTTGAGGTTAGAACCTCAGATCTGGACTAGAAGTGACCTTGAGGGTCCAAAGATTCGAACTTTATTAAGTTAGAGGCAAGACCCCATGCATTTGACCTTCCTTGGAGCTTGTGATGACATTATGGAGCATTTATGTCATGCATGGTCATCAAGATCGAACCTTTACGTGACTTTTGGGTATTGGGAGGCTAGATCTAGAGGTTGGAGTTGCAGATCTGACCTCAAGCATCTAAATAAGACATCCAGATGAGTCGACTCGCCGAGTCTATGAGATGACTCGACGAGTCGGATCGGGTTGCCCCAGAGATTCGTGACCCTGTGATAACCCGTTGAGTTAAGGGTTAACTCGACGAGCTACGTGGGACCCTTGGAAGAATTCAGAGGATACGAATGGACTCGGCGAGTCACCTGAGTGCACTCGGCGAGTCGGGTCAACTTTGGTTGTTGACTCATATTGACTTATGTTGACTTGAGAGTGGGTCAATTAGGAACATTGAGGCCATGGAGGGGTAAAATGGTTTTTTACCCATCAAAGAGAGTAGAAAGAGGAAAGAGGACTTTAGGTGTAAATGAGGAATTGAGGGATAATTGATTGTAATATTTGTCTAATGCGTTAGGCAGAGGCTAGTTCGGGATTCTCGAGTGCGTGTCTATTTCCTACTAGCTGCGAGGTGAGTTTTCTCACTATACTTTACCTATAGTGGTAGTTATGTGTGACCAGCGGGTCTTATGTGCTTACTTGAGTTGTGAATTGGTTATGTGATATGTATATTTGTGCTATATTATGTGATTGCTGTGTAACACCCATAATCAGAAAGACCAAGAAAGGAAAGGAAAACCCTAAGTCAAGGGGTCAACTCGTCGACTCCAGGGTGGAACTCGACGAGTCAGAGCGGGATCCGGGTTGAAGAGTAAGTGACCGACTCGACGAGTCGGAGAGTGGACTCGGCGAGTCCGGTCTAGATTGGGAAACCCTAAGTTCGGGACTTGGTGCCCTATTTAAACGTCTCATTCTCTTCCCTAGGGTTCCTTTACAGCCTCTCTCACCCAGAATACCGAACCCTAGCCACCATATCCATTTTGAGCAAGATCTAGCCTTGTTGAAGTGATTTGAAGCTTGGAAGAGAAGGAGGTTCATAGTGGTGCAAGAGGAAGCCTTGGATACAGAGTTGGTGTGACTTTTCAGATCCTTTGAGGTAATAAGCTGACCTTATTGCATTTAGATCTATCTTATGGTTGAGATTTGGGCATTTTGAGTATGGAGGAGGTTTATTTCGATTTTGGAGTAGATCTGAGGTTGCTACCTCAGATCTAGGCTATTAAGGATCCAGAAAGCCATAAAGTTTATGCCAATAAGTTGTTGGTGAAGCCCCTTGGTCACAAACCCTAGCCCTAGAGTGTTTTAAGCCCATATCTCTTTGGTTTCACGTAAAGTTTGCAACTTTATGTGAGGAATAGACTTGGGAAGGGTGGATCTATGAGTTGGAGCCCCTGCATGGCTCGAAAAGCCACTGTATGGATTAAGAACTGAAGCGACTCGGCGAGTCACATGGGTGGACTCGGCGAGTTGGATGAAGATGGGCATGGACTCGACGAGTTGGAAGAACAACTCGGCGAGTCTGTTGAAGATTGTCTTGGACTCGGCGAGTCTGTTCTTGGACTCGGCGAGTCAGGTCGCGAAACACTAACCCCTTCTGGTTAAGGCTCAGATCAGTGAGTTGGATAGGATGGGACTCAGAGATCGTTGAACTCGACGAGTCTTGGGGTGACTCAGCGAGTTGGGTCGCATTATGAGAGTTCTGAGTATATGTACTCGACGAGTCAAAGGACTGACTCGGCGAGTAGAGTCAGCCAGAAAGATTGACTTTGACCAGAGTTGACTTGGTTTGGCTTCTAGAGTTCAGTTGGAACTAAGTGATATATGTATTGATATTGGTAGCTCGGGGAGCTAGTGGAGCAGCGGTTCAGAGAATTGTCGGTCAGCAGCAAGAGGGTTATCAGCAAGTTCAGCAGTGCAGGTGAGTTTCCCTTTGTGTGAATGGGTCTACGGCCACAATGCCGGCCCATGTAGTTATGAGTAGGAAGACCCGGGGGTTAGCCCAAGGCACTGTTTGCTAGTATGATATTCCGGACCAAGGTCCGATGTCGGGCGGGTGCCAAAGAATGGTTTGCATGATAGAGTATACTTGTTGTCTGTCTGATGCATGTATGTGCCTGGTAGGAAGGTGAGTGTGGGCGAGGTCCCGTATCTCACCAATAGTAGAGTATGGACGGTGTTTCATATCTCATTAGTAGTAGAGCATGGGCGAGGCCCGAGATAGGCATGGAGTGAGTGTGGGCGTGGGCCCGTATCTCACTTACCGTAGGAGCTTGGACGGGGTTCCATGACTCACTAGTGACAGGACAGGGGCGAGGCCCAAGACAGGCGAAGCCTAAGGACAAGAATGCAGTAGGGTATGTTCAGTTATGTCTTATATGCTATTTTGTACTATATGTGGTTAGTGGGCGGGGCCCAGAGACAGGCGGGGCCTAAAAGAAACAGATATGTATCCGAGCGGGGCTCGAAGCCAGGCGGGGCCTGGAGCGGCGGGGCCGTTGTAGCGGGCGGGGCCCGAGGTAGGGGCGAGGCCCGAAATAGCGGGCGTGGCCCAGTATATGTTGTATGTGTTTGTGCAGGGTATGTGGTAGGTTGGGGAACTCACTAAGCTTCGTGCTTACGGTTTTCAGTTTTGGTTTCAGGTACTTCCGGTAGCGGAGGGAAGAGCTCGGGGTGATCGCATGGCACA